TGGGGGACCACCGGCCGCTGGATAACGATCTGGTGCTATCCGGCGGCCGCCAACTGTGCTGGGCCGCCCCAGGTTGAGGCCCCGGTGCGGCTGCACTGACGGTAGTTCCGCCACTGGGTTTGATACTAGGTTTGTTAATACTATATCCTGTTCTAATAGCAAGGTATCTAGGAAATGCACTCGCCAGTCACCTCTCTCCCCAGACTTGTTTGACATTGAGGTTCTGGATGTGCCAGGTCTTGGCTTTTCTGAGGACTTGAATGATGATTCTCTTCTTTTCTTTTCATGTGAAAAAATGTTGATTTGTATAATCCTCCTGCTATCTCCTCTGAACCGTTAGACCTTTTTGGTTTCTCATAAGCACAAGCAAGATGCTAAAGTATTTCCATACAATTTCTTTTTTGACAGCTTTATTTATAAGCAATAATAGAATCACACTAAAGTGTTTGAAATACCAAAGCACTTTTCTGTCTACTATCCTTTTGCAAACGATTTTACAAAAAAATGGACTACTCCTTCCTGGTCCCAGACCTCCAGTTTTACATTTGAATAAGGTGACCATGATCCCTGTTGAGGAATTTCCATCCTGCAACGATCAAATGGACCATAAAATGGAGTCTGATGGGTTTTTTTTTATGTGTGCCATCCCCGAGACCCTAATGAGACCTGTTATAGCCTTAGCTCTGGTATCTCAGTCCGTCACTGTCTGGGGCTAAAGTTTTGAGGCAAGACCTTGCAACAGCTCAGGTACTTTATACTTTGTTAGCCTTGGTAAGACCAAATGGTTCAGGTGCTAAAATATTTGTGTGAAGGTTTGTTGGATTTTTGTGTTTCGCTTAACTGTGACTGCAGTGGTTTTGCGCAGATATTAATGGTCTAAATGTTGGTCTGTTGACCAGACTTCAAAGAAAGCCTTCCCTTTGTGGGTGACCACCTTTTTGGCACAACACTGAAAGGTATAATTAAAAACTCTATTGGGTGTAAGAATACCTTTTTCCCCAATTCTGCAAGTTTTTTGAGAACAAGTGTAAACCAGGACCCTCTAACGGCTCAGACATTCCTTTTGTTCCCATTGGGACCCTGAGGAAAAATCCAGGGATGTTAAAGCACTTCTGCGGAATCCAAATGACCTTGGCAGAATTAGTACTTCAAGGATACTGACAACCACACCTCCTGCATGAAGGTCTGCCCCCACCTGCTCTGAGCAAGGTTGGTGGACAGCACAGATAGTTCACCAGCCATGGGATGTTTCAGACATCTGGGTTTGAGAGATTGTTTCCTCTGGTTACACAATAACATTTCATGCTCTTCCTTAAAAGTAGTTTTTTTGCATCAAACATTCATATTACTCCTTAGAAGTTGGGAAACTTATCTCTGGTTGTCAAAGATCTCCTAGCTCAAGGTGTGTTTATCCTAATTCCTCCCCAGGAAAGACTCAAAGGCTTCCATTCAAACCTCTTTACTATTCAAAAGAAGTGGGGTATTCACCTAATTCTGGATCTTAAAGCGTTAAGTACCATTTTGAAAGTCTAAAAAAGTTTAACATGGAGTCTCATTTGTTCTCTGGTTGCCTCTCTCCACCAAGGAGACTTCCTGGCAACAATGAACATTCAAAATGCATAGCTCCATGTGCCAATTTTCCTAAGCTACCAACACTTTCCCTGATTTGCCCGTTGCAAACGACCATTACCATTTTGTGGCTCTTTCCTTTGGCCTTCCCTCTGCCCCACGAGTATTCACAGATGTTATGAGATATTTAGATGATCATCTCTTGTGGGTGGACTTCCTAGGACAGCATTTAG